GGCCGGCCCATCGACAGTTTTGTCTACGCTCGGATCTACTTCTGTTCATGTGCAGAAGCGCGCCATTGAATGGGGCAACAAAATTGTTTCCCAATGTTCCTAGTCGACCGTTTGAAAACGGACAAAACAATGATAACACTATCAACGAGAAGGTGACAACCCACCATTGTTCGGGGCATTGAAAGAGTTGGTTTCCGCGCTAATATCGAAATGACAAACATCTTCATGACTGGCTTGATCTTTTTTGTCTTTTTTGTCGTTCTTGTCCTGGGACTGGTAGCGTTATTCAAGGGTTATTGCGAAGTCGCGTCGAAGAAAGGATGGATTAAGGGTGGTAAGTTTCAAGATTTCCGAAACGGATGGAAGATTATCATGAGAGGCATTCTGTTCCGCTTGGTAAGTTGTCGCTATCCCATGCGGATATGACAGAATTTTCTAACAGTTCCACTCTTCAGGTACTTATTGGCTTCCCCCAAATGTGCATACTCTGCCTATGGGAGCTCACTAGGCGAGATTCGCCTGCTGAAGTTGTTTTGGCCGTGTTCATGCTCATTTCGATGGCCGCGTCTCTCGGTTTCGCTGCGTTTACTGTCATTCGCCTGGCCAAAAGGTCCGTGGAGATCCATAAAAATCCAGCCTATATCTTATACTCAGACCCTGCGGCTTTGAACAAATGGGGTTTCCTCTATGTTCAGTACAGGGCAACGGCCTACTACTGCGTCATCCCCGTTCTAGTCTATATTTTGGTCAAGAGCATGTTCATTGGGTTAGCACAGCCGGCTCCTCTTGTTCAAGCTATCGCTCTTCTTATTATTGAAGCGGCCGTTTTGATTGCTGCCAGTGTGCTGAGGCCATGGATGGACAAAAAAACTAATATTTTCAACATCTCAATCGCCGCGGTCAACTTCTTCAATGTCATCCTTCTTCTCTTCTTCACCCAAGTATTTAATCAGCCCGTAGGTGACAGCTAAGTCCCTGTATTACTATCCCCCCCCGATCGAATTCGAAACTAACCTTCTCTAGGGTCTTGTCACTGGCATCATGGGCGTTGTCTTTTTCGTTGTCAATGCAGTATTCGCCCTCATCCTGCTTATTTTGGTCCTCATCTCGTCCGTGTATGCTATCGTGTCTAAGAATCCAGATACGCGATACCAGCCCATGAGAGACGACCGCGGATCCTTTATTAAATCCCAGACTCAGCTGACAACCGAGCTCGATGCTCTTGGAGCGACCGCTCGTGGTGAAACGAAATCATTTGAGGACTCGTCCTCGCTATCCGGCTTTTACCCTAACAGGGCAGATTCCCCAGCACAAAGCCTACAGCGTCAACAGCCACACTCTCCGTTGGAATCTTCTATGCCTTTATTCCCTGCCGACAGCTCTGCTCGTAGTGTCCCACCTCCAACATATCAAACCCAGGCTCCATACTCTCGAGCACAAAACATATCGCCTGCGCCCCGAAACATTACCACATCTCCTTTCCCAAGCTCTCCATCGGCGACTTCGAATCCGGCTCAATATAGGATGAACAACAGCAGTAGTCCATGGCAACGCGGCGCAGGATACGAGCATTAAGGTTTTGGAGAATGGATGATGCTGGCATTTGCCCTTATTCCAAAAAATGAAGAGATGACCTGGTCAGCTCTAACGCTGGGAAATAGCTTTGTCCTTTTGCTTATTTTATTTTCACAGTAACATATTCTCGCGGGTTGGACTTGTTTGGCGTCAAATCATGTCACTTAAAAGGCTATTTTTTATCTTCCTTTTTACTATTTTTTATTTATCGTAAGCTCTTGCTCTTTGAATGAACTTGAAACATTCAATCCCGTCCTCACCCCACAGATTATACACTTAGCTTTCCCTCCTTGCAACCCACTCTACTGATTTTTGTTTTTCCTATATTCTCTTTAGGCGTTCGATGTGGTATACATTTCTGTAATCTGTGGAAAAGAAACCAAGTTTGTTGCATATATTTTTGTCTCCTTATTTTTATCCCGCCTTTCATTCTTTAATATTTAACTTTTCCTTGTTGGTCTCTGTACAATCTCTTGTTTTTGTAAACTCTTGTCTTCCAAAAGAAAAAAAATTCCTTGAAGCTTAACCCTTTTCCTTGTCTTTACACATACTGTACATTAGTCTTTCATTTACATATGCTCATTCAAAACCTTATTTTAATTTTCATTTTAATTATTCTGTCTAAGCGAACTAGGTTTTAACTTTTTCGTTTCCTTTTCCTTTCCCTTACGTATTACATTCTTCAGATAGACGGTGACTATCAGCCATCAGCTAAAAGGTCCAAGTACCCAAGCGCCTTTCACCTCTCATTCATCACTTTGGTTTAAACGAAATCTTAAAAAAAAAAGAAAAAGAAAAAGAAAACCTCCTCGCAGCAAACTTCTGCATACGAGATATATAAATGAGGTTTAGGGGGTCCAAACGCCCATCCACGTGCAAACGCTCCAAGTACCCTTGGTGTATAGTTTGTTAACTATGTGTCAAGGGGCGGGGGCCCAAGGATCCAAGAAAGTATCCTCGATGGTCTAGTGGTCATGATTTCCGCTTGTCATCGGCAAAGTTGTCAAGCGCGGGAGACCAGGGTTCGATTCTCTGTCGGGGAGGGTTTTTTTTTTTTTTTTTTTCATATATTTATTATATTTATAGCTATTTATTTATTTAT